ACCGTAAAAATTACTGATGCTCCAATGTATGTAAAGGTTCTTGTGATGAGAGAAATTCAGTTTCATTTAAACCTGTTACTGATTCTCAGAGTCCATTTGTCAACAGTTGTTTTCCCAATCCATTGCTCAGAATACCAGTGCCACCTTGTGGGGAAGTATGGAACTGCTTGGGCACTGAAAGAAGGGCCGCAGGCTGCAGGCTGCAGGCTGCTGACCCCGCCAAACTCAGCAGCAGGAGGTGGGATGGGGCAGAGGCTGGGGCATGCACTCACCTTGACCTGCTCGTTTGAGGTGACAGCACAGAAGACAATCTCTGTGAAGCCCTGGGTGGGGAACATTCGGAAGCAGATCCCACCAATGACCCGCCCATCCTTGATCAAGGCCAGAGTCTTGTGCTTCCTGAGGGGAGAGGGGACAGGTCATAGTCCCTACCTGTTCCCCAAGTGCTCTCCAGGTCCCCACAGCCCTGGAGGCCTAAACTGTATTCAGGGCTGGGAACTGAGGAGAAAGAATTCCCAGAGGTTGCAGGAAGAAACCTAGGGAGGGGTATGGAGGCCGAGGAGGACAGGCACAGGATATGGCGCCTTGGGGCTGGGGGGTCTCCTGGGGACGCACGGGTCAAAGACGAGGCGGGCGATATACTCCTTGGGCATGCGCGGCAGCTGATGGGAGAAGACATTCTGCAGCCCCACGAGCCAGAGCAACACCCGCCGGTTGGCCTTGGGGGTCAGCGAGTTGCCGATGACATGGAACTCGATGATGCCACGGCGCTCCTCCAGGCGGGCTGTCTCGTCCCGGGCCGCATTGGCCGACAGCAGGCTGGTCTGCGCACCAGAGAAGGGGCGGTGAGCCAGGGCCACAGGCCCACGAGGGCACCCTACCCCTGCAGGCCAGCAGGCCAGCAGGCCAGCAGGCCAGGCCGCCTACCTCGGGCCCCAACATGGCAGCAGGGTCCGTGATGGTTAGCATGACCTCATTGACCAGCTCCATGGGGATGTCACCCATCACGCGGAGCCGCTTGGCATCCTCCAGCGTCAGGTTCTCTGGGAGCTTCCTCTTCTCACCTGCTGGGGAGGTGGGCAAGGTCTTCCAAGGGCAGCCAGAGAAGTTGGGGCAGGAGAGTGAGGGTCAGGGGTCAAGTACCCACCTGGCATGGGCTCAGCACCTCCGGAATCCAGACTCAAGGCATTGTTGCTGGCCCCACCCATAGCGGGGCTGAAGATGGGGGTGCTGGGAACAACGGCTGCACTGACTGTAGCTGTGAGACAGACGGACGGACGGATTGGGATGGGGGTGGTGGGCGTCAAAGGTGTTGGTGGGTACTTGACCCCTGACCCTCACTTAGCCCTCCGGCATTTCTCCATTGAAGCCACTCACAGCCCCTCTTCCAAGGGCAGGGGGCCGGAGCTCAGCCAGGAAGGCCGAGCAGAGATCCTGCAGAACCTGCTGTGGCACATACCTGGCCGGGGCACCAGCTGGGTCCCCTCTGCTGGTGGCATGGTGAAGCCTGACTCCCAGATCGGAGAGTTCGCCCCGTAGATCTCCTCCTCCAGCATGGACAGGAACCTGTGGGAGGGTACGGTCCGTCCGCAGCTCCGCCCAGCCAAGGGAGCAGCCTGGGCCAGGCACCAGGGGGCTGCGGAGGGTCAAAGAGACAGAGCCTCCTCCTCTCAGGGAACTGGGAGCCTAAAACAGAGACTGTGCCTTCAGACTAGGGGGAGTTGCAGCCCTCCGCTTCTTGGAGACCCTAGCTGAAGGCAGAAGGACAGGGCATAGCCAGGGCAGAGACCAGAGGCCTGGTTTGCCGTGGTATACAGAATGGGGAGGCATGGTCCGAACTGATGCTGCGCTGTACTGTATGGCCAGGTAGGGCACCAAGTCACCCTGGGCCGCGGTATTAAAATGGGGCTCCGATTTCAACCCCCTCCTGCGGCCTGATTCCTGGATGGTAGCAGAAGGGACACTGGAGGACCTGGATTTAGTCAGTAAAGGCTTCCTGAAACAGGCAGCTGTGAGCAGGTTTAAAACGAAAGGAGAGGCAGAAGAGAGGAATAGCTTTCAGAAAGAACTACAAGAAGAACAGAAACTGGTTTCATCTCAAGTGTAAGCTCTGATTTCTCTCGGAATGCTGTAGTCGGAAGGGTCCTGAGGCTGTGTCCAGGCCCCATGGGAACAAATGGGTAATGGCTACCAGGGCTGTGGGCAGCGGCAGTGCTGGCGCTGGGGCCATGCACCTGCCTTCCTCTGACTGCTACGAAAGGCAAATGCGAGCAAGTTGTATCTGGGCTACAGGCAAGTCTGCCAGGTAGATGCCCAGATTCCAGAAGGCTCATGGAGGGAGGGGCAGGACCAATCCAGGAAGCCTTCCTGGAAAAAGGGAGATAACAGGGATGATGTGAACTTGGGGCAAAATCCCAATAGGCCAGAAGGAGCCTTACTTGGGGAAGTGGGTGAGAATGAGGGTCCTCTTTTCAGGTACCAGCTTGTCCTTCTCCACCCGAAACTTCTCTAGCAGCTGCCGCCGAGTGACAGTGAAGATTGAGCGGAGAAGGCTTCGCCCAAAGACATGAGTGGTCTCGTATCGGGGGAGGCTATCGCAGCTCTGGGGCACGTGGCAGTAACAGAGCCACCTGCGGAGAGTGAGGAGGTGGTGAGAGTGGAAACCACTGAGCCCGCAGGCTTCTCCCCATGCTGTCCCCGGCTGGGCCTACCTGGTGTAATTGACCTTGTAGGTTGCCACATCCTCAGCCTGAGACCTCTGCCGAAACTGGGCAGGCGTTTCAAGCTTCCAGTAGTTAAGGCAGAGCAAGAACATCTTTGAGAGCTCAAACATGGTCTGCCGTTCCCGGGGAGCCAGATGACTGAACTTGTATTGCACAAAGTTTAGCACACCCTGCGAAGAGGTGGGTGGGGGACAAAACCAGGAAGGAAGCGTGGGCAGCCAGCATGGGCTTCTTATCCAAAACTAGGGGCTTCCTGAAGGCAGGGGCAAGGCTCTCCTCTCATTCTGAGGCTCTCTGTGAAGAGAAACTATGCCCACTCCCTACCTCTGTGCACACCTGGAGGTTAGCATGAAACACCCTCCCTGCTGGAACCTCTCCCCTGTTGCAGCTTGAGGAGGATGGAGAACACGAGCTCCTCATTCCTCCAAGATAATCCCAGTGCCCCTGCCCCCTTCTTCATCCCACCTGCTCAATATTAGGCTTCTCAAATGGAGGGCTGCCCAGAGACCCCTCTACCACGGGCCGGGTCATCTGCAGGATGCATTTCCGAAGGAGCTGGAGGAAGAGGGAGAGGGAGGGGTAAAGGTCAGCAGAGAACAGAGCTGCGGCCACCAGTCTCAACTCCTTTGTTCACTCATTTTCACTCGCAGGAAGCTCACCTTGAAGAGGTAGAAATAGACCTGCTTAGTGTCTGTGTCCTCCTCCTTATGAACAGACATGAACAGATTCTCCACATCCACCACCATCCCCAGCAGCCGGTTAATTTCATCTTCTGACACATTCTCCAGGTGGGACACGTGGTCAGCTGCAAAAAGACCAGGTGGTAGAGTTGGGAAGAATGGAGAGAAGATGTCAACAGGACTTCCTGCCCCTCTTCGTCACCAGCCATGGTACACCCTCAGTCCCTCCAGGGACTGTGAACAGCAACAAGGCCAACTGCTCCTTTGTCAGTCCTTGGGTGGCCCCTTGGCTCTTCTGTATTGGCAGATGTCCTTTCTCCTCCCTTGGGGCATATCCTGTAAGCAGCCTTCTAAGGAGGAATTGGGGTACCCTCCGAAGAGAGAAAGCATCTTTGGTTTTTAAGAAGCTCTGTGGCCCTTAAGTTATCCTGTCCAAGTAGAAGCCAGCACCTGCTTCTCCCCTGCCTCCAGCTCCAAGGGCACTATCTGCCTTACCCAAGGGGTGCTCACAGCTGCGGCACAGCTCACTGAGGTTGGCAGCTGGCTGCTGCAGGTCCATGCGAGGTGCAGTGGGGGGCTTGGGGTTTTTCCAGCCATTGCACTTGCAGGTTTCATTAGCCTGGAGGCAGAAGGATCAGTCAAAAAACCCTGTCCCTACCCCAGGGATGGAGAGCGATGCTCCTCAGCCAGAGCTTTGCTCCCATTTCCACCCGAGCCCTGGGATGTCCCAAGCCCCGCCCCCTCTCACCCCAGGCCCCGCCCCCACCTTGCAAGCCGAGAAGACCCCTAGCTTCTCAAGCTTCTTGGCGCGCGGCAGTCCCCGGACTTGTGCCTTCCTCTGGCTGGCACGCTGCTGCTGGCTCAAGCCAGGTCGAGCCGGGTCCCCCCCGCTCCCGCTTCCCCCACTTCCTACCCCGGGTCCCCCAGTCCCGGTGCTCCCGGCTGGGGCTGCAGCTGGGGCGGGGGCTGGTGCCGGAGTGGGAGTCGGGGTCGGCGCCAAGGCCGGGCTAGGGGTAGGAGTCGGAGTTGGGGCAGGGGCTGGGGCCTGAAGGGGACGGAGTTGCGCGGCCGGGGCCGGGGTCGAGGCCTGGGAAGGCTCCGCCATGGCCTCCCCCGCAGCGGAGCGCAGCGCGGCGCTCCCTGCCCTAGGGCCGCATGGGCAACGGGCGCTTATTGCGCAGGCGTCACTGCCCTGGAGCATGATGGGCTTTGTAGTCTTCCAACTCTGCTCCCTTTGCCTACGCCTTCCAGACTTTTCTATCTCTTAGTCCCAGACAGGTGAACGAGGCCCGAGCCAACGCCTCTGATTGATTCCTCCTTACTTTTAATCTCTCTTGGAGGCTTCCAGGATAGTCGAGATTGTTGTCCTCTTGGGGATAAGGAGAGGCATCCTAGAAAACAGGCATCTGATTGTGGGACTTATGGGCTGTGCCATCCTGCCAAACCTCTAGTGCGGAAGTGCCGGCCTGGGGCAGAGTTGGCTTCCAGGCACATCTCCCTCCCACCCTCACCCTGTCCCACTGTTTCGGGAGACAAAGTTACAGCTACAGAGATTAAGCAGCATCAGTTTTAGTTCTTGACCTGTGAAGTAGTTAGTTACACAAGTGTGTTCTCTTTGGGATAATTCAACTGTACCCTTTTTGTGCACTTTTCTGTAGGTACACTTATACTTCCACAAAGAGTTTGTTATCAAAGTACTGAGCACCAGAGGCTTGGCCGTGGTCACAAACAAGGCTACCAAAGCAGGGATGAAGCAGAGGCAGAGGAGGGTGGAGGCCTTTGCCCGTGTATTCGAACGACTCTCCCCTCAACACCATGGGCACCTTGAGGGCTGGGCTGGCTCTTAATCTTTGTGGTCCCTGAGCTCAGCCCGCGCCTGTAGCACAGCAGGCCCAGGAAGGATGAGTGAAGCCAGGAAGATGTGTCCACCTTCTGGTTCCCAATGTGTCACAAATTTGTGCCCTCATAGAGAAAGGCAGGACATTATGAATATGGGTTATCCTGTGTTCAGACTCCAATGTCTCTGTCTGGGGGACAATCCTTCTTGTCCCAAGGCCCAATTCTTAGAAGGGGAAGAGCCCGGATGGCTCTATCATTTCTGCTCTGCACCAGTAACCTCTGGCCTTTTCCATACCAGGTGGGCCCTCTGGTGGAGTTGGGGAGGGGCCCAGGAAAGGGGCAGGGCCCAGAATAAAAGCAGCCACGGGGGTGCCAGGGCAAACGACAACCTGACACATGGAGGTAGGACGAGTGTAATGACCGCAAACTGACTCTGCCAAAGCAAAGGGAGCCTCGCTGGAAGGAGCCGAGCTGCTGAGCAGGAGGGCGGCTGGGCGGGGCACACGCAGGAGGAACCTTTCTCATGTCCCGCCCCTGTGCGCGAGCGCTGAGTGCTATACTAAAAGCCTCGTGCCTTTGGACAGCAGTTGCTTTGGATGCAGCGGGTTGGTAGCAGTCTCCTCAGCGGGAGCCAACTGGCATCCCGGAGTCCTAGCGCAGCCGTCGCAAAACAGAACCAGGTGGCTACACTGCCGGTGCGGTTGCTCAGAGATGATGCGGCAGCTATGCGGGACAATGTCCACGCGGAGAATGGTTTCCAGATGAAGGTGAATGCCCATGGCTTCAGCCCCGAGGAGTTGGTGGTACAAGTGGACGGCCAATGCCTAAAGGTGACCGGCCAGCGGCAAACGGAGAGCTACAGCCCAGATGGAGGTTCCTACCGTTTGGCGCATACGGTACACCGCCAAATGCTGCTACCGCTAGACCTGGATCCCGCCGCGATGACCTGCTGCCTGACCCCTTCGGGCCATCTCTGTGTCCGGGGCCAGTGCCGGCCACTGCCTCCCCCTGAAGCCCCAACAGGACAATCCTCCATACTCAGGAGTCGCGGCTCTAAGAAGGTTCCCAACCCAGCCTGACCCAATAAACCACCATAGTGAGCAGAAAAGCTTTAGTGTCTGTGGTCTTTTCTCAGAATTGGGGTCAGAGCTGGAAAGGCACGTCAAGGTGGTGGTTAACTAAAAATCAGGACTCTGGTCCTGGGAGAAGCTGGGGCCAGAAGTGAGGGATTATAGACAAAGAGCAGGGCCGCGCTAAGCTCAGCTCCGCTGGGACCCACAGTCCCGGGCCCCAGCTGCTGAGAGCAGCGGCGCCAGCAGGGAGCAGCAGAGAGCCGGAAAGGCTCGAGAATTACCTGGTTCCAGAACCGGGGATCGGAATGGCTTGGACCTGGTGTGAGGCTGCTCATTGGTGCTTCTGCCTCTTCAGGGAAGAGGGTGAGAAGATCCAGCCCCTCACAGTCCTGATACAGATTAACCAAAACTGCCAAAGAGCGTGTTTCTGGTGTTTCAGAGACCAACCTTTTTTTCATGTTGTTTTGATTTTGAGCCCAACTATTTTCAATCCAGACTGCACATCACCCCAATATGACCTAGAGGTGGTGAGGGAGCAGGACGCCCAACTTCAAACTTGGTGAGATTCGCTTCCAGGTCACATCCAAGCCCTGAGCCATCAGCCCTGCAGGTAAGGCCCCACCCCCTGCTTACCATGGCCACCAGCATCCCCTCCCCTGGGAGGTGGGTAGCTTTTGTCTCACAAGATTCAGTGGTCCACTTGAAATTAACTTTAAGTAAGCTAGAGAGGACACAGTCTGCCAGACAAAGACAAGACAGACAAGCAGGAGGTGGATCCATTGGCTGACTATATTGACAAGATACTGATTGGTTACATGTTGAAGAAAACATACAATACAAAATACAGAAAAAGTTGGTTCCATTCCCTCCCACTCCCCCCCTCACCCACCCACCCCCAAATACTCATCATCGTGATTTGGTCAGAACAGGGCTCAGAGCCAGAGGTCAGGGTGACCAAGGATGAGGGGCGTGGGGTGGACTGGGCAGTGGATTCGTGGCTGTCACAATAATGCTGTGGTCGCTCTCCCGGCTGAGAGTTAGGGGTGAGGGGGACTGCAGCCTGGTGCCAGCCAGCCAGGCAGCCAAGGGAAGAGCTGTCTCTCCCTTCCCTAGTCCCTAGGGCCTGCCCCATGGCCCAGAACCAAGCACACTTCACACACGGTACGGATATGGATGCTCTTGCTGGGTCTGCTCATCAGCAAGAAGAGAAGAGGGTGCTGCCCCAACCCCTGCCTCCCCAGATACAAGGGTGGGGGCAGCAGGGGCACGTGGCTATACCCAGCAAAGGGAGAGTGGGAGAGCAGTAGAAAGGGCTGGAAGTGGGAAGAGATGATCATATATATTAAAAAAGTGACTTAAGACTTAAAATTGCATTAGTATTTGTACAGAAAGGTGCAGGTGGAATAACTCGCTCCGGCCTATGAACAAAATTAGATGGAGAAATCATGGTGGACCCCTCCCCCTGCCCCCCCTCCCCCCAGTGGTGGCCCAAGTAGTTAAGTGCGATTGGTTAGAGTGGATTCCAGTCGGGTTGTTCAGGCGGAGGGGGGGGGGGCAGTGGGCAGGCAAGGGGGGCTCAGTTGCCGCAGCACTGGCTCCTGCTAGCTGGGTTGTTCTCCTGGAGGTCCACGCCTCGGTTCCGGCCCGGAGCACCACTTGCATTCTGGGGCTCGTTCTTGGGGAGCTTCTTAGCTGTTTGGGAGAGGAGGGAAAGATGTGTTTGTGGGGATACTCTAGTACTGTCTCCCAAGTCCAAGTGAATAGAATCCGGCCTGTACCACTCAATCAGCAATACCGATGGCTTCACTTCTACGCGCCAGGTGCATTCTGAGCATTTCAGGAAACTGAGGCAAAGAGAGGTTAAATGACCTACTCAAGATCAGAGCTAATACGGCAGGATGACTTCAGAACCAAGTGGGCTAAAAAAATCCTGAGAAATGGGTAGAATGGTGATGTCAGGTTTTAGGTGGATGGCAAGCTAAGAAGTCAGGAGGTGGAACGTTGAGACTTTGAGTCAGATAAAGAAGAAAGTAATTTCGTCAGAATATTGAGAAGGGTGAAAGACCTGTTGGTGAAGGGCCCCACAGACGTACTGCAGAGCAAAAGGTAAGAGCGATGCCCCGCTGGGGGAAGCGGGGGAGAGGCGGCTCACCTATAGCCATGAAAATCTCGTTCACGTTCATCGCGGTCTTTGCTGATGTCTCCATGAACAGCAAACTGTTGTCATCGGCATAGGCTTGTGCTTCCTGATTTGGACGGAGGTGAGAAAGCGGGTGGGAGGGAAATGTCGGCAGTTGGCAGGGGCTGTGGCCCAGGATAAAAAAATCTCCCCTGATGACAGCGCCTTATTCACAGCAGAGGCAATTCACGGGTTTCTGGGCCTATAGCTCTGCCCTCGGGGTTCCTCTGAGATGCCTGCACCAGGCGCCCTGCTCCCCACGGGGGGCGGCCCCTCTCAGCTCACGGACATTAAGCAGGTGCCCTATGTGCATTCTGCCTTCTTGCTCTTCAGAATCTCTAAACTAGGAATTACTTCTGGAAAACCAGCCTACGGATACAGCCGCGAAGTGAACGAGAGCACAGAAGTGTGTGCCTGTGATGGCAACTCTGTTTCCAGTCTCTATTACAACCAACCTCAAAGTCCATCAGTTACGGACTGGAAAAAAAATTAAATATACGGTATGTAAAACACACTCCCTTCTATTAAAGAAAGGGACTCATAGGTGTGCACATACTTCTAGAAAGATGAGAAGCTAAGGAACTTGGGGGAAGAGAGATTGACTTTCTAGGGTTAGAGACTTAATTCTATAGGCCTTCTTGTACTATTTAAACTTAACTGTGTGCATGTACTCCATGAAAAGAAGTGTTTCCTTTTCAGTAAGCCTCGTTAAAAAGTTTACAGAAACGACAGCAGAAACTTCAGCTATCTGTGTGTGCGCACCCCCTGCTGCCACGAGACAAGGACAGGTGACTCCTTCCAGCCCAGGCTCAGGTCAGGAGAGGACCGAAGACACCAGCGCCCCTGCCGCCCCCCGAGGTGGCCAGCCTACTCCTTCCCCAGTCCCGTCTGCCCCCACACCTGGAACTCCACGGCTCTCTTGACGGCCAGGTCTGCCTTGTTACCCGCAAGCGCGATGACGATGTTGGGGCTGGCCTGCCTCTGTAACTCCTTCACCCAGTTCTTGGCCCGTGCAAACGTGTCCTGGGGAGACAGGGCCGGAATGTCAAAGGGACAGAGGAGGCATCCTGCCCCAGGCCGCTCACTAGAGAAGCTCCAGCCAGCAGGGCCGAGGCGCCATGCTGTCCAAGGCACCACCAGCTGGGCATTCTGGTGCGACACCCCCGCACGACAGAGGAGACCTGCCCACACCCCCTCCAGGGACCAGGGCTGAGGAGTAAGGGAAACTCTTTACTGTGTTGGTGATGTCATAGACCACGATGGCGGCCTGCGCCCCCCGATAGTACATGGGGGCCAGGCTGTGATACCGCTCCTGGCCGGCCGTGTCCCAGATCTCAAACTTGACTGTCGTGTCGTCCAAGCAGACGGTCTGTGTGAGGAAGGCCGCTGGAAGGGGGAAGGTGGTGTTACCAGGCAAGGAGGGGCTCAGGAAGCCGCCCCCACGCATCTCCACTGCTACGTCCGGCTCTGGCACTCAGAAGCCTCCTCCTGAGACGGGCCCGCAGAAGACCCCGCCGCGACCACCAGAGCAGGCCTGCGCAGGACAGGCGAAGTCTGTGTGTCCGTGCGTGTGTGCGGGGGTGTGGCGTGCACATGCTTCCTGGGCCCCCAGTAGACAGGGTCGGGGAGGGGACGCCTGCGCGTGCCTGGGCTGTCTCAGGAGCGCTCTCGGAAGAGGAGCACAAGGGGCCGGAGAAGGAGAGCCCCAGGAGGCCTGGCTCTGAGCTCAGAAGGGTGGGCCCACCTGCCCTCTTCCTCCTCCCCCCCGCCCCTCAGGGAGAACAGTCCAGCTGGAAGCCTCCCTGGTCCCTCGGCCGGCTCCGCGCAGGGGTGTCGCTGGCCTTCTGTTTCCTGAGGACGCTGTCACAGCTATGCTGGGGACGCCAGAAGTACACACTGTCCCACTGCCAGGCGGAGGCTGGGTGGCCACTTCCCAACCGCCCCCGCCACCCCCAGGCACACTGGCTCGCCACAGTGGGCCATTTCTGACTGGCCACCCGTGGCATGACCTTCAGGAGACACAGAGACCCTATCCTTGGCCCGAGGAGGTGAGGGGGCGCACAGCACCTGCCCATGTGCTTCCCGGGGGGAGGCCCGGAGCCGGGCAGGCAGGTGGGGGGTCCCCTTTGCCCAGAGACCCAGAGGGGGGTCGCAGAGAGCCGTTTGTGCGAGTCTGTTCTCCTGTCTGCCCCCCCCAGGGCACAGGCACCGCCTCACTTCCCCTCCCCAGCTCCCAACCCGAGTGCTGAGGAGGCAGCAGCAGCTGCTGACACGGCCCATTCTGTTTCCAGCTGCCTGGAAACCTCCTACCAACCGAGGGGTAGAGAGAAGATGACTCAGACCCAAGGCTGGCCCTGGCCCCTCAAGGTTTGTACTGGCCACGAAGGCGGGGGGCTGAGTCCAGACCTTTCCATCCTAAATGCTGACCACTGCGAAATCAACAACAGGCTCTAAGCTCAAGAGAGGGTAAAGGTCACCTTCAGAAGTGCCAGCTCACTCACCACCCATTTCCCCATTTTGGGAAGTGGGAGAGGGCAGGGCAGACCCATGGCCTGGCACCGTAAGAAGGACCCGCAGGAGTCCAGAGCCGGCCCCCGCCTCTGCGGAGGCCGGGTCAGAGGAAGGGTCTCCACCGAGGCCGCACAAATTGTGAAGAGGCAGAACTGGGAGGGGGAGCCGCTCCAACTCCCAGCTGGTTCTCACTGGAAGCTCCTCGGGACTCTGGCATGGGGAGCCGCTGTGGGACCTGATGAGGGCCCAGGTGAGGGAGGGGCTGCTGCTCCGGGCGGATTTAGTCCCACGGGGCAGGCAGCTCCCTTCTACGCAATGCTGAGGCCTGCCTCTGGCCTTCTGAGGCTGCCCCTGCTCCCCCGTGCCCACTCACCTCCAATTGTGCTCTCCTGGTACTCGTGGAATTGTCCCTTGACAAAGCGGAGGACGAGGCTGGATTTGCCTACCGCAGACTCCCCCAGCAGGACCAGCTTAAATTGGCAGATCTTGTTCCCGGCAGCTGGTCCGTTGGGTCGCGCTGCACCTCCCCGACCCGCCATGGCCCGTCCCGCTGCAGTGCTACCAGTGAGCGCGAGGGCAGCGGCCGGCGCTACGCGAAGAGGCACTTACTGGGGAGGGGGCTCCAACTGCAAGTGAGAAACCAGAAGTACCAGGTTAGTCGGAGACGGAGACGGCTGAGCAGCGAGCCCTTCTTAAATCCCAGGTCTCTCCCCTGCCCTCCCTGCCGACCTGGCTGACAGCCGCCCCTCACCCCAACCCCCTGCCCTCCCTGCCAGGAAGTGAGGCGAAGAGAAAAGCGCTCTCCCAACTTCGGGCTCCTGCTCTGAGCAAACCCAAATGTGTACATGCACACACAGATCAACACGCATAGGACAGGGGTGGGCACGAGCCCGCCTGGTGGCAGCAGAGTCCGCAGGCTCCTTGGGGCCCTGAAGAGCTGCCCAGGAAGACGGCAGGATCTAAGTCGGCAAACGGCGAACCTGCGGCCTGGCAGCCGTGCTCCCAGCCCACCTCTGTGTAAAGCCCGGGGAGTCCTGGGAGAAAGCTCTGCGGACAAGGTGCTCAGCCAACCTCGAGGACACGCAGGGGCCAGCGCCCAGCCAGCGCCAGGTGTTGTCCCGACTGCCATTTTGTCCCGCCATCTCCAGAAGGACTGACCGATTTTCTGTCTGAGGCTGGACTGGGCACCGGGATCAAAGCCTCACCCTGAGCCGCTTCCCCCGCGTTCTCTCATTTTTATGGGCCAGAAGTCTCACACGCATTAAAAAACCAAACACACACACAAAACCAAACACACACCGGCGGCTGCCAAGTTTCCCTCTTAAATAGAGACCTCAGTTCCATTCTCTGCTGGCAGAGGCAGAGGGTGACCCGGAGGAGGGACGAGTGGGAGGAGGTGTGGGAGGGCGGAAACAAACACGGGGCACCGAGACCTGTGCCCCCAGCAGCTGGGGCCCAGCACTGACATGTCAGTCACTCGGCTGGCGACAGCTTTGGGGAGCCAACTTTTTTTAAGTTTTAGAACTGCAAAGGATGAGTAGCCTACCTTCAGAAGCCCTTAGAAGACTTGCGTTAAAGGCTATCAGAACACACACAGAGTGTTTTACGAGCGAGTACTGTGAGCAGGTACCACGTCGTGAACACTGCAGAGTCTGAATGAAGGTGGAGAAAGAAGATCCGGATCAGACTGCCCTTCGCAGCATGGAGTCTTGGCAGGACGGGTCTCAGGAACGGGGCCCCAAGGACAGCCCTGACCTGCCCCCTGGCCCGGGGGTGCGTCCCCCTGCAGTCGGGACAGGACGGGGTGTCGGTGTAAAGGGGACCGTCTGTGGGGAGCAGCGATCTGCCCTGAGCGAGGGGCAGACGGCACAGGGCTCACGGGGCACAGCCTCAAATCGTTTTTCACACCCAGGCTCTCCCAGCAACATGCTCAAAAAGTTAAGCCTCAGGAAGAATGATTCACGAACCAGGAACAAGAGTTTCCTTTCTAGGCAGCACCAAAGGAAAAGAGGTTTGAAACAGGGCCGCCTCCTCCCTGAGAGTACAAGGAAGGAAGAATGGGCGGGGTGGGGGGGGAATCTCGATTAGTGAAAAGAAATGCCAGCTTTGAAACAGCTCATCGTTTAAGATGCCTTTGCTTTTCATCCCCATCAGTGGTTTTGCAAGACTCTCTCGCCCTTGAGACAAAGTCTGTTGTGCTTCCAGCTTCTCCAGGATGCCTCCCCGCCATGCACACACACACACAGGAATCGGAGAGGGCTCACCGAATTAAACGCTTCTCGGGGACAGCACGCATTCGCTGCGCAACTGCACAACTGTTATCTCCTCTAACCTTAAGACAAAGCCTGACATCCAGGTATTAATGCCCTGCTCCAGGCCACCCAGTGCACAGGTGACAGAGCCTGGTCCGCAACCGTGGGCAGCCCGCACCCTCACGTGTCTCCCTGCCGTCCCCCTGCTGCAGAAGAAGGGTGGAGACAACGTCCGCCCGGTGTTCGGTTTTGGGCTGCTGGGAGAACGAGACTTTTTTGTGGCAGCAGCTTTGCTGGCCCAGCGAGGTCCGGCTCCAGCCTACAACCGACAGTCCCATGACTCTTGCAGTACCTGCATGCTCCCGACAGTGGGAGGAGCCACCCAGAGCCAGGCAGAACCACAGCGACGGGGGACACCACAGCGGGGTTACAGGTTGGCTATGACCACAAATCCACGCCACACAGAATCTTGACCAAGCAACAGAGTGTGGCTGGGGCACTAGACGAGGCCTGAATGAGCTGGGAGAAGGGAACAGATGGTGCAGTTCCCAATTAAAAAATAAAAAAGGCAGTGGGGACTGTGGCTACCAGCACCTATAAGACGAGAAAAACAGGTAATATCTGAGTCTTGTCTCTATCAAACCGGAGGGGTTCCAAACCTGACTGAACAGAATCTGACTTTTCAACCAGTCAGAAGGAAAGGCAAGTCACTCTAGTGCGGTGGTTCCTGACCCTGTCGGCACATCCAAACCGCATGTGCGGTGGTCCCTGGGGCGCCAATGCAGCTTTGGAGGAGTGCCCAGTATCTGCATTTTTTAAAAGTGCCGTAGGTCCTGCACCTGGCACCCACTGGCTGGTGCCACGCTCTGCCTGGATGCTGGTCCCACCTGCCAGAGACACCTGAGCAGGCACACCCAGCACTTTCGCAGCCTGCTGCCTCGTGATTTTCCCAGCCCCACTCGGTGATCACGTGAACATACCTGGAGAACCTTCCCGGACAAGAAAGCACAGAGGAAGCTGATTCTGCCATGAAGGGCACACCCAGACAGTGCGGGGGGGGGGGGGGAGGGATGTCTAAGACAGCAGAGGGCCTGAGCCCCGGGAAGCTTTCCATCCGCCCTCCCCTCCCTGGCAGGTGGTAAAGGTGAACTCTCGCACTGAGCTGGACTGCCGCCTAGGGGAGGGAATCTCACTGTGGAAATCTCTCCCCCTGAGCCAGTCTCGAGAATGCTCGGGGTGCAGTCAGGGGTGCAGCAAGCACCGGGGGGCGTGCCCCGCCCTTCACCACAACAAAGACGAATGGGCAGAAGGGATCCAAGCTCCTGAACACTCAGTCCTGCGAACTGGCACAGTGGGCATGTGCCCAGCCAGCCCTGGGGCCAAGGGCAGAGAGAAAGGGACAGAAAAGCAGAGCACCGCTCTTCCTTGCTTGGGTTCCTCTGCTCCGGACACTGCAGTGGGGCTCCAACCTTTTTTCATCAGAATTACCCCAGGCACTCAGAAAATCACCCCCACCGACTGCGTTAGAACCTCTCGACGTGGAGTCTCTTCTCTAATCCACGAAGTCACCCACTTCATGCTTTTTGTGTCCTTCCTGGTAAGAGGGTGAACAATTCCAGCTGATGGGTGTCTCTCACGCTTCCTGTTTGCTTCAGCAACTTCCTCTAGCTGACAGTCCCGGCACAGCTTGGATAGTGAGCTGATTGGGGAAACCAATCACAGTCTGTGGACCAGGGGCTGGGCTGGAGACTCACTCACTCAAGGCTCAGTCAAGGTTAACCAGCAAGGGGAGGGGAGGGGGGGCGGGGCACAGGGGTGGTGAGAACCAAGTGACCTTGCCCAGTTTCCCTTGGAGGTGGCTCTGGCCTGTGACTCTTTAGCTACACTGTACTCTGGGAAAAAGCATTCCTGAATATTGAACATCAGAAGAGTTGAGCAACACAAGACAAAAGCAGAAGCAACCTGTTAGCTTAAAGAGAAGGAAACGTGAGGCCCAGGAGGAGAGGGAATTCGGTTCAAAGGCTAAGGTGGAAGACACCCAAAGTCTCGGATCAGCCCTGGCTGGTGTGGCTCAGTGGACTGAGTGCCAGCCTGTGAACCAAAGCGTTGCCAGTCCAATTCCCAGTCAGGGCACACACACACCTGGGTTGTGGGCCAGGTCCTGGTGAGGGGCACATGAGAGGCAACCACACACTGATGTTTCTCTCCCACTCTTTCTCCTTCCCTTTCCCCTCTAAAAATAAATAAATAAAATATTAAAAAAAAAAAAAAAAAAAAAAAGAACACAGCTCTCCCTCAAAGGAGAAAATCACCACTACCACACACAGGACCGGAGGGCAGACTCCCAGCAGGACGACCCAGGCCTGTGGCTGGTTGCAGACCCAGAGGGCAGACAAGTCTGAAGCAACACAAGCCACGAGCCACAGGGGGCGCCCACTCGCAGTTTCAACACAACTAGCAGGTTAGGACCCGGAGGCTGAACCAGGCTTGGTTAGGGCCTGGCTCTGCTGTTTTTATTGGCCAAGTGACCTCGGCCAAATCAGACAAGCAACCACTGTCGGCTTCAGTCCCTCACCTATGAAATGGTGGTATTTAATCCTAACCGCAGCGGGTTGTCGGAAGGTTCCAACGAAACGATGCACAGCCTATCGGCACAGCATCAGCCTGAAGGCAAGGTTCTACCAAGCGGCCGGTTTGTCATATGAAGAGGTTACCTGATTTTGACTCAGCAGTTGTCAAAGCTCAAAAGATTAAAAAAAAAAAAGATCCCATTTATTCATTTTTAGAGAGGAGGAAAAGGAGGGAGAAAGAGGAGAGATCCATAGGCTGCCTCTGGCACGCCCCCAACCGGGGACCCAGCTGCAAAGCAGGCTTGTGCCCTCACTGGGAATCGACTGGTGACCTTTCGGTTTCCAGGACGACACCCAATCCACTGATCGCACCAGTCAGGGTTCAGAGGGTCCTTGTAGGCCTGATCCTCCTCCTCCTAATGACAGAGGAGGGGAAGGCGAAGCAAGGCGACCTGCTCAGGGTCACAGCCAGACGGTGGCAGAGCCCGACCAGGGGACTCTTACTTCCAGCAAGGCTCCTCCATCGGAGACAGAAAACCCAGGATGACCACCAACACCATCGCATCAACCACAATGGTGCTGCCACAGTCCTCGTGCGCTTTAATAAAACGGCTTTAATTACGGGAAAGGGAGGGTGTTTCCACAGGCCCATGTATCCCCTGGAGAGGGTGATGGAGGAAGCCGGGCCCTGGAAGCCTGGGTGACACTTCAAAAGCACCCTGATGGGGTGTGTTAGGCCAGGTCTGGACTCCTCGTCCCACCGGCAAGCCGGAGGCTCAGGGGAAATGGTGGCGGGAGAGGAAGAGGATGTTGTCCTCACACAGCCACGCAGGTGACTCCCTTTCGGGGGAGGGGAGGTAAACCTGCCAGAGGGGGACTGGGAGTGAGCTTTACCCCACACCACTGGGCCGGGTCACCCTGTCCTGACGGTCTTAACCGAGATCAGTCTCACCTCACTCCCCATCCACTGACGAGGCTCTTCTGGGACCCAGTGCCTGGACCTGCACAGCACAGCACAGCATGGCCCGACTGAGTGTCCCCTAGGGCTCTAGCCTAGGCCACCACTCCGCCAACTCCTGCAAAAGGAGCCAGCATGCAGGCGTATCAAGGAGCTCAAAGCCTGAGGATCCATGGCCAAGGGGTCCCCCCACACTGTGCAGGCTGAAGCTGGAGCTCTGCAGGGAGTCAGCGGACAGAGTACTGCTGTCTCTGCGGCCCTCTCCCTCACGGGGGAAGGCCTGATGTGTCACTGTGGACAGGTGCTAGGCTGTGTTAGGTGGAGGCCCCAAGGGCCTGACCGCCAGCTTCCCAGAGCCCTGCTCCAGCAAGAACACCAAGAAATCCTTCCCGGAGCTCCAGGCTGCTGCTCAGCTCTTGACAACAGACGGGTTCCCCAAGGAGGCTGAGAGGAGCGGAGTCAGCGCTACCTTCAGGGCAAGGATGGAAACCTCCAGTCCCTGCTCCCTCTCTTCCTGCACCCACCAGAGAAGGCTGATGGGAGTGGGGGGCATCTCCACATAGCTGCTGACACAGCTTGGTCAGTGTGACCTGCCCACACTGTCCACGGAAAGGCCCAGGGTTCACGGGCAGCTCTAGGGTTCTCATTCACTGATCCTGGAGGCCAAAGAGGGGCCATGCATTTGGGTGACAGGTTAGGGAGGAAGATCACGTGGGCAGGAGACAGCTTGTGGTTGTACCAGGAAGGCTTGTCCTGCCTAGTGATTTGAAGAAGCAGCAGGGGCCCTGGGTCCTACCAATGATATTCCGGAGAGAGCCTCTCCCTAAGAGGGCCTGGCCTCCAACTCAGCACAGCTCAACCAGCACAGCTGG